TTCATGGGGCCGTGGGGAGAGCTGGGTGATGCCGAGCGTAAGGAACTTGGCCCGGAGCGCAGACGTCAGCCACTGTTTTCAGCTTCTGGCTCCTTACCCTCCGCTGAACCACACTCTCAAGGAAATCCCTTCTGAGTTTTTTTCACAAGAAACACGTGTGGTAGACTGATCCCCAGTTCTAGATGGAGCCCGAGACTGGGAGACTGAGGCATATCAACCAGCCATGGGGAAGGAGGGTGGAAGCAGATGGAGAATTAATCCTTAGTGAGCATCGGTGGAGACACGTGTATCCCATTGGGTGCTGTCCTATGCAACGTCTCATTTACCCTTCCAACACGGAGGCATGGGGCTTTGGTTTCATTTCTTGCTTCTGCTGGGTGGTCGTGGGTGTTATCCCCACTTACAGATCAGAACACTGAGGCTCGGAGAAGCCACGGAATTACACAGGGCCACAGAGCTCACAGCTGGCTGCTCTGGGCCCTCTGGGAGCCCAAGAAGAAATGCAGATTGTGACAGACTGTGATTCTCCCTGCAGCCGGAGGAGTTCCTGTCCGAGGGCTCTTATCTCCTTTCTTTCTGTCTGTGGAACGGGAGGGTGGAGAACGGGGTCCATGTCTCAGCGGAGTGACTAAGTCCAGAAATAGTTACGTGCTGGGTGTGAAAGAGCCAATTAGACTGCAAGGCGGCATTGCTGGAGGTCCCAGTTGAGGCTGGCAACCGTGATTTGTCATTGCAGTCACCCTAGAGAGAGATCAGTGGGGGTCAAATAGTCCAGGAAGAAGTCGGTGACAATCGGTGGAGCAGGCAGTCTGTGTTGTACTGCGGCCCTGGCCCTCGTCTCTCACTCGATCTCTCTGACAAAAAGTCCATCCTTATGATATGTATCCTTATTGTCTTGTTTTATTCTCTTGTATTTTCTTTTGGAAAGAGAAATGGTTGGTGGCATTTGCCTTAATGGGTCATGACCCACAGTTTGAAAAACACTGCTTTCCTTCCTGTGCCATTCCTGACACTCAGGATGGCGAGGGGCCACTCTGCTACGTGCGTGTGCTTCTGAACCAGTGACCTGGCTTGTGTCCCTCACACATGTGCCCTACAAAGATAGAAACCCCCAGTTTGGTTTCAGTTCAGGAGAGTGCCAGCCTCAGCTCCTTCCCGGTCAGGGTCAAGGATCCAACTTTGCTGTCTGCCTTCCCAGGGGCTCCACCGGCTCCCGCTTGGGCCTCGCTCCCTGTGCCCGGCTCCCCAGAGTTCCAGCAGGGGGGACCCCGGCGGCAGCCCAGAGTTCCCTTATTCCACACTCACTCCCACATATGTTCACTCACACACGTTCACACACTTGCACACACTCACCATGCTCCAGGCAACAGTTCTCTGATACCAGTTGGATGTCCTACAATTCAGTTCAATTCTGACATGACTACCTGAAGCGAACACAGACCCCATGAGTTAAAGGGAAGGTCCCCAGAAGACTGCTCTCACTGCAGATGCCAGACATTCGTGGGGTCCCTGGGCTCCCGACACTTCTGTCTGACTTGGTCACAAACGTGATCCCTATTTAGGTTTGATAATTTGCTAGGAAGACCCAGAAAACTCACTGAAAGCACTATGCTTATGGTGACAGTCTGATTATAAAGGATACAACTCACGAGCAGCTGAATGTGAGACACACGGGGGTGAGGTCTGGGCTGGGGAGGGGGACACGGAGCCCCAATGCCCTCTCCCGATGGAAACCAGGCACGCACCCTCCCCACGTGTCAGTGTGTTCACCAGCCAGGAGATTAAATCGTTGCCCGGTGCTTGAACTCAGTCTGCAGTCCCTCTCTCCCCTTTCCAGAGGTCGGGGTGGGGCTTCGGGTTTCAACCCTCTAGAATTATGTGACTGTCTTTCTGGAGCAGCCCCTCCTTTAAGTCCCACTTGAGCTGACTGTTAGCATAAACTCAGGTATGGCCCAAAGGGGCTCTTTATGAATTACTAAAGACCCCCATCACTCAGGAAAATCCAAGGGTTTTTGAAACTCTGTGCCAGGAGCCAGAGACAAAGACCAGCTGTATTTTTTATAGCACCCACAGGCTTATTCTCACACACACACACACACACACACACTCATTCTCTCTCTCTCTCTCTCTCTCTCTCTCTCACACACACACACACACACACACACACACACACACTCCCTCACACATGCTGGGTCCCATGGACCTGATGGGTAGGCGGCAGCTCGGCCTTGGATCTCTGAAGAGGAACCAAAGTGACCCCTTTTCTTGGAAAGACGCGTTCCTGGGGGCAGTCCGGGTCCAGGTGGACGCATCAGCTCAGTGACGCTGCTGCTCACAATGGGCGAGGCTGTGCCGGGACTGCAGAGAAGCATCTAGAGGAGAGCTGGCCTCCCGCTGGGTCCCCTAGGAGGGCCGTCCTTCCAGGTGGGGCACCAGCACCCCCACCCAGCTCGCATTTCTGCCCCAGAAGCCTCTCTCCCGCCGTCCTCTATCCGCTGGGTTCTCAGGCTCTCTCCACCCTGCCCTGCACGAGGAGAGGGGCTGGCAAACTCATTTCTGACCACGGTTCAATGACTGATTGGGTGCATTGTGTCCCTGCTCCCAAGAGGCACTCTCACGGAGAGCAGACGCTTAAAGCCAAGAGACTGCCCTCTGTGGGCCAGGTGCAGGGCAGCCGAGGGCTCAGGATCTAGATCCGAAGGGCCTGAGCTCAGATTGCAGCTCCAGCACTTAATAGCCCTGTCATCCTGGGCATTACCTGCCTCTCTGTACCTCAGTTTCCTCATCTGTAAGATGGGGATAATAACAGCATCCCCTCTCATATGAGAGTTAAGTGAGATCATGGAATCTAATGAACTGGGGTTAAGGCTTGAGTAGAGGAGGGAAGCGGTATGTGTTAGCTGCTACTAGTCAATAATAACAATATTATTGACAATTATAATGACATTGTATTAACAATTATAATACTATATAGCAATATCATAATAATAATAGTAATCAATAACAATGGCGGGTAATTTGGAGCGTCACCCAAGGGGTGGCAGGACAGTGTGCCTTGGCGGGGGAAGGGGAGAAGCGCCATCTCTGTGCTTCTCCAGAGCCTGTCACGCTTGGGGCCACATCCTCTGGAGGCCCCAGTGGCCCTGCCACTGCAATCTTCTCTCAGCATCTTTGGCCAGACTTCCGGTCTTCCAAACTCTAGACCGGGCTCTTGGAGCCTGAGTGGGAACGGCTTAGAGCCCTCGTGGGGACGAGGGTGGAGGGGAGGCGGGACACCGTGACCAAGTCCTTTCTCAGGAAAGGAAGGAGTGACCCTTCCTGGGGGGAGGACCAACCCTCTTTCTCTTCCCCAGGGGGAACTGTGCCCCAGGAGGTTGGGGAGATTCCAGAAAGTGTCTGTCATCACCTGGAAGAAGGGATGAGCCTGGGTGGGGCCAGTGGAGACTAAAAAGAACATTTTAAAACCACAGAGTCTATGAAGGGAATCAGGGGTCCCCTCCCCCTGATGGCCGTGGGGAGGGCACTGGCCCGGGGCTTCTGTGGGTGTAACAGTGGAAAACTTCAGAGTCACAGTCCCCTTAACTGAGCAGAACCGTCGTTCAGAGCAGGAGAAGTGAAAGTGAGGCGTCTGAAAACGCGCTGGCTCTGGTTTAGACTTTGGGTAGTGCTGGGTTACTAGAGCACAGATAGGTCCCTGGGGCTCAGAAGCATCGTTTTGTTTTTGTTTTTAATGTTTTTATTTTTGGCTGTGCTGGGTCTTCGTTGTTGCACATGGGCTTTCTCTAGTTGCAGCGAGCGGGGGCTACTCTTTGTTACTGTGCGCGGGCTTCTCCTTGCAGTGGCTTCTCTTGTTGTGGAGCACAGGCTCTAGGTGCGTGGGCTTCAGTAGTCGTGGCACGAGGGCTCAGTAGTTGTGGCTGTTGGGCTCTAGAGCGCAGGCTCAGTAGTTGTGGCTCTCGGGCTCTAGAGTGCAGGCTCAGTAGTTGTGGCACACGGGCTTAGTTGCTCTGCGGCATGTGGGATCTTCCTGGACCAGGGCTCGAACCTGTGTCCCCTGCATTGGCAGGCAGATTCTTAACCACTGCACCACCAGGGAAGTCCCAGAAGCATCATTTTCGACTAGAGTAAACCCACAGGAGAAGAAAGGGCAAGTCCCTTCCTGGGCAGGATGTATAGAACAGAGAGGGGTTGCATAGCGTGGGGTCTGGAGCATGGACACCAGCATCCAGGGCTGAATCCCAGCTCTGTCCCTTTCAGCTGTGAGGCCTTGGCCAGGCAAAGCCTCCAGGGTATGTCCTAGGGGCCAAGCCCATATGGGTATTTCCTCAGTTGATCTTCACACCAGCCCGAAGAGCCAGGTCCTCTTAAGGTCAGAGAGCGCCTCAGTTTCTTCATCTGTGAAGTGGGGATAACAGCAAAACTCACATCACAGGGTTATTGAGAGGATCAAGCAAGTGAATATATGCAAGGTATTCATAACAGTTCCTGTCACAGAGAAAGCTGTGTATATTAGTTATTAGTTATTTTTGTTTCCACGGGGGAAAAATAGTATGAATTGACTAATATCTATGATTGTTTCCAGCAGCCTCCCCCAGGGCATACATGCTGGGGTGTGAGTTGAAATTCAACCGGTCCATTTGAGCTTTTCCAAGCGTGACCCTGGATCACTGCCTGTCCCAGATTAAGCTGATTCCAGACCCGCTCCCCTTCCGCAACTAACCAGCATCTCAAGGGGCGGGACTCAGGAATCTGCACTGATTTAGTTGACCCCCCCTCGATGGACAAATGAGAAGTTGAGACTCAAGGAGCCAGGGCACATGGACCACGTGACACATGGCTCTTGGGGCAGAACCCCTAGTTCTACCTCGAGATGCTAGACTCCCCCACCTTGCCTTTTTGTTTCTGGAACATTCCAGATGACTTCCATCTCACTCTTGTCCTTCTAAATAACCTCCTCCCCAAATCTTTCACTCATGGAGTTCCCCCTTCCTCCATTGCAGACGTTCCTGGTCCGCCGGGACAGCAGCTTGAAGCACCCGGTGCTCTGTGTGCACTTCCCTTCCCCAAACGAGAGCTCATCCGCGGTGCTGGAATACACCATTAAAGAAGAAAAATCAAGTGAGTACCATGTCCCCATTCTGCCTGGAGCCACACAGCAGCGGCAGATGCTACACCCTGTAACCACAGACACTCCTCCCAGGCCAGAGGGTCTAAAATTAGAAGAAGGGGGAAAGCTTTCATCCGCTGAAGTTATTTGGCCCGGTTTGTTTTGAACTCGGTTTATCACGCAAAGTCAATGCAAGTTTCCACTCACCCATGTCACAGCTTGATGGCTGTGCTTCCTCAAGGCCTCTATGAAGTCTCCTCTTGTTAGGTCATGGTAGAGAAAGGGAAGAAAAAGAGAGGACATGTCTGGGCCCCTGGGTCCTAGTGACAGCTCAGCACACACTCAAACCATGATCTTGGACAAGTCACTGAACCTCTCTGAGCCTCGGTTTTCTCATCTGTCAAATGGATATAATAGTCACTTCCTGTCTGTATCACAGGGCCTTTGTGAGGGTCAAATGGGCAAGCACTTTGAAAGACAAAAATCCTGTGTGCGCCCAGGGCTGCCAGGAGCAGGCTTGAGCCTCCGTGGAAAAATGTTTGGGGACCCCCCAAACAAGGGTGGGTTTGTACGCAATTGAAAGGGTTTGGGCTTCCCCCTCCTCTCGTGGGCCAAGCCAGGTATTAAGATCCAAAAAGCTTGTTGAAAGAATCTGTAGACTATTCCAAGCACCGGCTTAGATCCTCTTACAAATTGATCCAGGGATGTCAGAAGCTTTTTACTCTTGGTTGGCATCAGAGTGACAACATTTAAAGAAGGTAAAATATTTAAGTATTTTATAAATATTATAAGTATATGATAGAAATGTATACTTTAATCATATATTTGCATAATTAAATGTTATATAAAGATAATAAATATTTTTTAAATATTTATTAAATATTTTAGGGTGCTTGTTTCTCAATAGACACTTGTGCCCGACACTGGGAAGATGCAAAGATGAAAAAGACAGAGCTCTGGCTTCAAGGCTCTCCCAGTGTAGTTGGAGGGTGGGGGGCAAGGTGGGTGGGAGAGACACAGACCTCAGCACTTGCTGTGCAGTGTGACAGATGTAACTGCACAGGGACCTCTGGCCGAGGGGCACAGAGGATGCAGACCATGGTGGGAAGGATTCCGGGAGGGTGTCAAAGAGGAAGGAATACAGGCTGGCTCCGGAAGGGTGAGGATATTAGTTCAATTAAATGCTGCTTTTCTAGCTCCAGAGGTGGAGGAGAAAGCAAAAGCAGGGGCAGTTTCCTGTTCTTGCCATACACTGAATGGGTGAAACATATTTTAGGGCTTGTTTCTCAATAGACACTTGTGCCCGACACTGGGAAGATGCAAAGATGAAAAAGACAGAGCTCTGGCTTCAAGGCTCTCCCAGTGTAGTTGGAGGGTGGGGGGCAAGGTGGGTGGGAGAGACACAGACCTCAGCACTTGCTGTGCAGTGTGACAGATGTAACTGCACAGGGACCTCTGGCCGAGGGGCACAGAGGATGCAGACCATGGTGGGAAGGATTCCGGGAGGGTGTCAAAGAGGAAGGAATACAGGCTGGCTCCGGAAGGGTGAGGATATTAGTTCAATTAAATGCTGCTTTTCTAGCTCCAGAGGTGGAGGAGAAAGCAAAAGCAGGGGCAGTTTCCTGTTCTTGCCATACACTGAATGGGTGAAACAGTTCACTCATTCGTGTATTCAACAGTTGATTATTAAGTGTCTGCTCTGTGTCTCAGGAGCTGTTCTACCCCTGGGGACACAGCAGGGAACAAAACACAGTCCCTGCCCCTGAGAGAGGAGACAGTAAACAAGTGTGGAGAGTCATGCTATGGAGAACACATAAGTGGGAAGATTAGCCAGCTGTTGCAATGACAACAAAAAATGTAATGGGTTAAACCCAGAAGGGGCTAGTTTCCCAATCATGTGCAGGATTCCTGGTCAGTGGGGAAGGCTCATTCAGGGACCCCATCTGGAGCACGCAGCCCGCAGTTTCTTGTGGTTGACTCCATGCCATAGGCTGGAAGGCAAAAGAGGAGGCTTGTGGGCGGGTCTTACCGCGATGCCTGGAAGTAGGTGTGTCACTTGTGCTCACATTCCATTGGCTAGAACTTGCTCACATGGCCACACCCAGCTGCAAGGGAGACTGGGAAATGTGGTCCAGACACCTGTCCAGGGAGACGCAGAGGGCCTGAATCTTGGTGAACTGCTTGGAGTCTGCTCTCTGGGTAAGGGGTAAGGAGTGTGTGGGGTTGTTAATTTATACAGCAACCCTTAATGACTCCTGCCCTACAGCATCCAGCAGGGAAGACAATGTAGGGATCTCAGAGAGGAAGGAGAGCGTTACAGTTTCCCCAGACCAAGCATATAGCGCCCTCTGATGACTGCAGAAGGGGTGAGGTTGTTTGGGGCACCTGGGGCTGCACAGACCCTGGGTGTGCTTTTGATCTCCTGGGAGAAGAGACAGCCATGAGCCTGTCTGCTTATGGTCTTGTGCAGTCCTGCTACTTATTGAGAGTAGCCAGGCTGTCGGGGACTTGGCTGCCCAGACACCAGGTATCTACAATCCTTTAGAAGTCCAGGAGCCAGCTGTGCTCTTGAATTTCAACACTAACATTAGGAAAGTAGCTGAAAGCGGGGAGTAGCATTGTGCTGAGCCTGTTTCACGTCAGCATGTGCTCTGGAAATGGAAGGAGGGAGCGTTGCTTCAAGGGCAGGCTGACCAGGGAGGCTTCTTGGAGGAAAAGGGAGTTGGGCTGGACTGACGGAACTGACTGGAAGTTCTGCTTTCCTCCTTTGTCCCTGTGCTTCTTTCTCCACCTCCCTGCCCCATCTCCAGGGTAATCTCTTCTAGGTCTGCCCAACCCAGCGACAACCTGGCTGCCCCAGGGTTTTGGAACTTGGTCAGGAAGCATGCAAAAGCTCTATCTGCCCCATGGAACCAGGATGTCATGTCTGGCTAGGTGTCTCATTTCTGATTTGGAGCCCAAGGAATAAACCAAGGTGTTCGGGATGGAGGAAGCTTCCTTCCCTGGTTTCCTGTCTTCCTCCCATGTGGTAGAATCCCATTTTCCATTTTTTCAGTTTTAAACCTTTAAAAATGTATGCTCAGCTTAGCTGAAAAGAGCAAACCAAACATCCTTTGTGAAACATAACTGTTTGAAATCACAGTTCGTGTCCATTCACTGTGACTACACAGATGCCATAAGTTTGCATGTGTTTCATTTCGCTTTCTTAATTTTACTCCACTGCTCCCCAAACCTCAGACCCCTGAGCTCTTCCCCCAGAGAAACCAGACAACAGCAAGAAATCAGCAGGTCGTGTGTTTCGTTGCCATGTTGCTTCACCGCTTCAACCTTTGTCCTACCTTTCTGTTCAGTACCTGCCTCCTGAGCACGGTGTTTGAGCATATGGACCATGGAAGCCACACAGCCTGTGTCGGATCCGAGCTCTGCCTTTTACCACCTCTGTGACTTTGGGCACCTTGCTTAACCTCTCCAGGCCTCTAAGATGGGGGTGATAATGGTGCCTGCCTCACAGGGTGCTGGAAGGAGGAGTTAGTGTGTCTGAAGTGCTTAGGGTGGGTGGTACCCAGAGCACCACAGAGGGGTATAATTGTGTTGTTGTTATTGCTGTCATTATTGAGCCTCCTGCAGGATTAAAGCAAAAGGAGGAGTGGAATAAGCCTACACACAGGGTTCCAAGGCTCTGGGTAAATCACAGCCCAGCATGTGGGGCCTGCCTTCTAGTCCCTCATGGGAGGAAGGAGCCACCAACTTCCTCAGTGCTCCCGTGGCCATGGTGGCTGCAGTGGGGGGATGGCCCGAGGAGGAAGCAGGCAAGGGAAAGGCCCAGAGCCTGGAACCGGGACCTTTTGCTGGGGTTCCCCACACAGAGCTGAGGTGAAGGAAGGAGACAAGGGGATCCCCCAAAGTGGATGGTCAGCCTCATCTGTGACCCCACTCCATTTGCTCTGAAAGGGAAAGACCCACGTGGACCACCTCTGTGCTTCTGTGTGCTTGGGTCATCCTCTAGTTCCTTGGGAAGCGTTTCTTGGCAAACTCTGAACCAGTCAGCTCAGGCTAGTTATGCTGCGGTGACAAACAGCCCTGCACTGCCGTGGGTTGTACACACACAGTACTGCACACACAGTAATGTGAGTGTATTTCTCACTCACGTCACCTGTCAGCTGAAGCTCTTTACAAAAACATTTCACTCTGCAATCTGGGCTGAAAGAGCAGCTCCCAGCTGGGGGCAGAGGGAAGGGAGAGAGATGGCAGAATGCCAGGATGGGAGCCGAAAGGGTTTACTCAGAGGTGGCAGGTGTCACTTCCCATCACATTTCATTGGCCAAGCAGGTCAGATGGCCAGGTCAGACTCAATGGGATGGAAAGTATGATCCTCCCGCCAGCATGTGACTAGCAGGGAGGGGTAGCGACTATTCTGAACAACTCTTACTATCTACTGCGTCCCCGATCCCCTTCTGTGCTGCACCAAGGTGACAAGAAGGCTTTGCGCTGTCTGGGTCACCACTTAGCTTCATCAGGGACCCTCAGAGGCCAGATGTGTGTCTGGCGGGTGGGGGCAGAGAACCGGCAGAAGAGACATTGGCTCAGGGGATACAGGAGGCGAAGGAGCAGGAAACGGGGTAGATGGAGGCTAGTCCCGCCTCCAGGCTCAGCCCTGCCCCATTATGGCTGAAATTAGCCACCTGGCTGGGGGACACTAGCTACTTTTTCATTAATCTGCACCCTTGAAGATGGTGGCAATGACACATTCATGGGATGGCATTTTCCTGCTGGCCGCCAAATAACAGAAAACCAGTTGGCCCCATCTATAGAAGAGGAGCTATGAGACAGCGGTGGATGGTGTGGCCTGGCCCCTACAGGAAGTGACTGCCTGGTGCTTGGCCTGAGCCACTTGGCCGAGTTTCGGGGGGCAGCCCCACTTCACTCCCTGCCTGTTCCCTATGCCGGACTGACCCCTGGCTTTAGAAAGGCTGGCCTGTCGAACTCAGTTAGGATTTCTTCTTGCCCTGAG